ATTTTCCTAACAGTCGATACTTTCGTCGAGATAAGCGACATGGTCATATATGCAGTTCCAACGGCAAAACATAGTATTTCACAAATGATTAGTAGGATTGCTGGATATATGAACATTTTGGCTAAGAGCCAAGCGCCTTCTTGGACTATCAATATCATCATCGAATATTGAGAAGCCGTCAGTTCCAGAATATAATAGAGTTGCAGGACACAAAAGTTGGAATGGGGAGAGCAGAAGATGTACAGTGGAGCGACTTGATGAGACAGAAAAGTGAGAGGATACGTGGGAACAATATCGATGCCACTCGGAAGCAAGTGGGTTTTATCTTTTTTTTTTCCCTCTCTTTACCACGATCTATACTTTTATAGTCTGTGATTCAGCCATTAGTAGTGGGAATATTAGATCGGGTGTCGCTCTTAGTTATTATCATATGATATTACCATGCTGGGAGTATTAACAATAATAATAAATCGTATATTATTCATTACTTACAATTATACGCACATGCGAAAACTTGAACCCCTTTTTCCCCTTTTCTCAAATCCCATCTGTACAGAAACGCAACATTTCAACTTCTCGATCTGTTTGACATTTGCCTCATATCTGATCTACCATTGCATATTTGCAAAGGTGAATAAGGTAATGTTATACCGCACGCTCACCGGACATTCATATGAAAATTTTGATCGGCCAATCGGACGATTTTACTTGGTCGAAGTTTTCTTTTGAACGCTCAATTATAATATTAATTAACTTCTTCCTTCTTTTATTACTTTTTCTGCATGTGCAATCTTCACGAGAGGGAAAACGCAAAGGTTTTTCCCACGCCGCAGGAGTCTAAATAGTCAGATGCCCCTTTTACTTTCAATACTATTGCCGGCGTCTAGCAAGGTTGGTGATTTGGGCTTAGGCTTGATTGGTTAATTAGTTTAAAACTGTTATCGTTTTCTTTTGTTTGCAGATTTTCGCAATTGTAGGCTAATTCAATATTGATTTGAAGAATAGTGTGAAACCAGTCATCGATTTATTATAGTGGATAAAACGAGATTCTTTAAAACAATGGCTCTGCTATACCGGGCTTGAAATTATTAGTGAATGTATCAGTTAACAAGAAAAAAATAAACAGTTGACGAAGAGCTAAACTATATTTAGTTTATTAGTGTAATGTTATGATTATGCATAAAGTTCAGAGTTATTTAATAAATATACCGTATAAAAAATACTTGCCAAATATTTCTTTTAGTCAACATACTTATAAAGAACAAAGACAATCCATCGCAGACTTCTAAAGAACACAGTCGGGAAAGTCAAATTACGTTCTCGTTTGAGCCGATAAAATGTTCTCATCTCTCCCTTTATACAGTTATAGAGGAAGGGTGTGAATTTTCAACCAATCGAATAATTCCGTAGTAAGACCAAAATCAGCTATTCTGGCTCTTAAAATTCACAATCTAGTCTTAATTTTAGTAAGCACTAATCTTTGTCCTCAATATCAAGCTATAATTGGGGGCACCTGTAATCCACAGTTCAAGGCGACACTTGACACCGCCATTATTCTGGCGGACACGTATTTGGGTGTTCAGGGCGGCGCCTGACATGAATGTTGAGTGATGACCATCAAATCTAATTAGTTTAAACGCCAAGAACAGGCTTAACGGTTAAAATACACTTTCACGAGTATATACTTTCAGAATCAGCGCAATTTTGAAAAGCAGTTTTCTCAATGTGAAGTTTTAGGAATTACAACGATTAATAATGAGTTCAGCTAAAGGACATTAGCTTCTCTTCCCAAGAAGAATCTGTTAAAACCATAGATGACTAAAGAGAGGCAAAAATGGCGACATGCGTCAGCTAGCGCAGCCGTACAAGGACTATTGGAAGCGGCTATGTATTTTCCGGAAACACTGTTTTTATTGCTTGACTTTTTAGACGAGCGTTCCAAACAAACAAACATGCCTTCAACTCGGTTCTTACTATGAGTTGTAAAGCTTTTTATTCAGTATTATGAATGGGCTCTTGAGATGCAAATAAACTCGTGGTTTCTCTTATGTAACCGCTCTCAAGTTGTGAATATGACCGTCCTCGCATTGTATTAACGACGATTGATCCATTTTTGTAAAAGTGTTTAGAACTTAAACTGTAGTGACAGGAAAAAGTCATATTTAGAATAATGCATGACATAGACAATAGGGAATGCAAAACAGATAATTGGTTTGAAGATGGGGTTAAATCAAATATGCACAATCACTTGGATGTGATTAACGATGTCGATTTCGTAACAAAGCATTCCGCTTGGGTAAAAAAAATAACTGTTTACATTATAGCATCGATCAGATATCAACTCTTGAACGTAATCTTTCATAGGTGTATTGATGAAAAAAAGTCGCCGCTTTCTCCGAATTATTCCGCATACGCCTCATAGTTGATTATCACGCGGCCATTACGAATTCTGACTCGATGACACCGGAATTTAAAGTTATGCAGATCACGGTAAAAGCGGCTCGATTATCCGTATGCAGGGTCCTCCATATGGTAGATAATAATAGAAATGATGTAATTTATCAATCTTCCTATTCCTATTCAAAATTTTGAGGTAACACAACGATGACAAATCTCAAAATTTTTATAATTATAACTTTTCACCATTCTTTTCTCAATCAAAAAGATGTGGGGCCTTTCAGCGAGACGATTACAAACAGTGTCCAAGGTATTAGCCACTTATTAGTATGCGTGATTTGGAGTTTGAAGATGAAAGTTTACAGCCTAACGCATTTTATTGATAGTACGTGCGTAACTATTCAACCAGCCGTCCGAATGTGAGTATATACTTTTATTGACGAAAGCCGCTTAAATTATCCGAGTACTAATATGCTATTGACCTGAATACCTACTAGGATGTTGTCATTCTATCGGCCGCAAGGACGCCTATAGGTTGTTTCAATGGATCGTTGAAAAAAGTATCAGCAGTCGAACTTGGCGCCACTGCATTGAAAGCAGTCGTTGACAGAGCTGGTATGTAAGGTTTTCCGTAAATTACCCGATCCCCGCAAAAGAGACAGAGTTAATGACCAGCACCCACCGTTTTTACATAGGGATTAAACCTGAACAAGTCGAGGAGGTCTTCTTGGGTAACGTCCTACAAGCGAATCTAGGACAATCACCTGCTCGGCAGGCGGTAATAAAAGCGGGTTAGTACACTACCTTTGTACCCAGTCTATTAGTCCTTTACTGAATGGGACGCTTACCCCGGCCTTTTTTGCACAGGTCTTCCCAACTCAACCGAGGCAACAACGATTAACAAAGTCTGCGCGTCCGGAATGAAAGCTGTTATATTCGCTGCACAAAGTTTATTGTTAGGAGATCGATCGATAATGGCTGCTGGCGGGATGGAAAGCATGTCTAACGCCCCTTACTATGTACCTAGAGGCGCTACCTATGGGCATCAGTTTCTTGTTGATGCAATTATAAAGGATGGACTTTGGGATGTTTACAATCAGATACAGTAAGTTATGTAATTAAGTTACTGATCATAACCATGATTCGCTAATTAACGTCATTTGATACTTTTGCGATTTAATTTGGATGCGTTATTAGTATGGTAAGCTTTTTCTTATGATCACAGACATATTCGAATTTGACTTTCAATATCAAAGAATACTTACGCGACTGGGTTAGGGTAACTGCGCAGAAAATACCGCAACAAAATTCGATATTTCGCGCGAAGAACAAGATTCACATGCAATAGAATCGTACAAACGATCCGCAGAAGCTTGGAAGGTTCGGGTTTTGATTGATACGAATCTGCATTTATGATTTAATATAGATATTCTCAAAACTAAGGTGGGATGGTTTTTCTTCTTATCAGAATGGTATATTTAAAGCTGAAATTGTGCCAGTAGTTGTTAAAGACAAAAAAAAGGAAATTATAGTGGACGAAGATGAAGAATATAAGAATGTTAAGTTTGACAAGATTCCATCCTTGAAACCAGCATTTCAGCCAGATGGTACGTTAGTCGTGTACTTTTTCGGCTTTTTTTTTCGCGGAAATTCATTCAGGCTGATGACAAGCATGTATATTTTTCGATTCAGGCACTGTTACAGCAGCGAATTCGTCGACAATAAACGATGGCGCAAGTGCACTCCTACTTTCAACTCGGGCAAAGGCTGACGAACTTGGGCTAAAGCCTCTTGCTCGTATCATTTGTAAGTTTTCGTGTCGCAAAAAAAAATCTTTCCCTTACCATCAAACGAATTTATTGACATTTTGTACTTTAGCATACGGTGATACAGCTGTTGATCCGATAGACTTTACAATTGCGCCATCAAAAGCTCTTCCTGTAGCTCTCAAAAAAGCCAATCTTAAATTGTCCGATATTTCTCTCTTTGAATTTAACGAAGCATTTAGCGTTGTTGCGCGAGCGAACGAGAAAATACTCGAATTGGATCCTGCAAAGGTCAACGTTGCGGGCGGTGCTGTATCCCTGGGACATCCCATCGGATCATCAGGTTCAAGGATCCTCGTAACTCTGATTCATCTGTTGAAACAAGGGCAATTAGGTGCTGCAGCTATTTGTAATGGGGGTGGGGCTGCTTCAGCTATGGTAATCGAGCGGCTATAATTACACGAAAACGCGCTGTGAGACGCTTCACTTGCGATTTATAGGGGTACCCCCATTTATAGATAACGATTGTGTCGTTGTGATATAGAGATTATTAAACAAATTACGCGGCAAGGCTTGGCTTCTATCTTTTATTCCTAAACTCGATGATCCTGGATATATAGTCATCCAGCAGATCTTTCACATTAATCTGTTGCGACACGATAAAATTAGTTTATTGATAATATAATAGCCGTATAAAACGTCTGGTTATCACACTCGATTGGTATATCTAATTTGTTAATGAAAGATTTCAATGCCTGCATCATATCGGCATTTATACTTTGCCTCAATACTGAGACCATTTGAGTTTTATTACAGAATGCGCATTCTCCAAGTCTGCATCAGGATGATTAATGTGTACAATAATAACCTATTTTATCACCCTTCATCGTTACTACATTAGGAATATAATTACTACTGTCGCTAATCATACACAATCCCATCATTACAAACTAACTTATAAATAGAGGAAGTTATTCAATTCCAGCAACTCGTTTATTCCACAAAAATTTGGTGTTTTTCTTTATCCGCAAAAAGACAAACTTTATATTCAATACTGGGGCAATAACGCGGACCGACTCCTAAATTTTTTTTGGTAATAAATGACGGTTTTGCATAGACTAATTTTCTATCGAGTTCCGTTATCCTCGTTACCCTTTGTATTGAGGACGCAACATTGTTTATAGTAATAGTCGTATATGAATTCTTCATGTAGTAATGTAATTCTTTGGGTTTTTTGAAACTGGTAAATTTATGGGGGAAAATAACTCTCAGAATTCCTAGCTGACTATAGACGTTCTGATAACCACATTCCGTCTCTCGAACAACGGTTTTTGCTGGAAGATGTAGACCCGAGTCAAGGATGTAATCATTTCGAGATCGTAACCTAAATGGGAAGACCATTATTGCTATAATTACGGGATCTGTTACTCAGCCACTACACGCTCTGTTCAGAAAGCAAATTTGATATGGAAAATACTTTATTTAGTGAGTCCAAATTTCTAGCTACTGGGAAGCATTAGATACTGAATTAAATGTCATCTAACCACTCTTCGTGTCAGGCAATGTAATAGGATTTCTTTTGGGTGAGCAATATTATCTTTTCCCCATTATAAAGTTAGTGGACATTCTACTAAACGTTTCTTCACATAGTTGCGGTTTGCTGGGGCTTTACAAATCCATTCATAAAAAGGGGAAGTGCTGGATTAGAGAACGTCAAACGAGAAACATGGTTAAGACAAACGCTTGCTGAAGTTTGGTTTCTTGTGACCCGATGGCAGGTAAAAACCGATATTTTATGATTCTGGAAAGCTTAAACTTTCAATGTACTCACTTTGATCTTATTTCTTAGTATATTGTACCCCTTATACTGAATTTGAGTGGATCTGTTGCATATTATTATACTCTTGGTCAAGCAGGTTGAATGTGATATCATAGACACGATTGTAGTAGTCAGTGGTTTTGATATTGATGACTTACATATTTGTATCCATTCTCAGACTTGTCGCTAGCCGTTCCGATAACAAACTCTCTAACCTTTATATTCACCACACTAGCGGCTGCATTGCTGGGAGAAGACATTGGTGATAAAGGTGGTATTCAATCTGTCTACATATCTATGCTAATGCGTGTATCATATTTTCACGTTAATTAACTTTACTTGATTATTCTCAAGCATCATGGATGGGCATGGGTCTTGTAGTTATAGGAGTAGGCCTATGCGTCGGAAGTAAAGCCGATGAACTTGCATAATGCGGGGAGCTAAAATCTTTAAACATTTAATTACTGCTTTAAACTGATTTCAAGAAGAAATATACTCTCTATTGAATTCCCATATGCCGCTGAAGGGTTAATTTGGCTGTGATGTTTCTTCGATTCAAGGTAATCTTTAGTTTGGTTGATATGCGTATCATCTGATACGTCGTTGCTGCCTACTTGATTCTGTTGGGTATCGTCATCAATGGTGTACTTTTCTAGATCAGTCCGTAGCTCAGATAGAGATATTTGTCGGCATTCAAGATTCCATTTATCCAGTAAATACTGAATAGAGCGCTTTGAGCTTTGGGTGATAAAGAAATCATAAATACTCGTAACTAATTTTTGTCCGTAAGAATGCTAAATTAATTACCTTCTTTCTTGATAAGTAGTCAAAAATTTTGCGTCTGGTGAATGATATACTAGTATGTATGCTATTGTTCCAATGATATCCTCAAAGTCTATTCCGTATAATGTCATTAGTTGGAATCATAACAAATAACGGTACATATTCCAAATAGACTCGTACCTTTAGGATCATAAAAAGTATCACTACCTAGTAACCAGTCAATCTTTCGGCCCCATAATGTCTCTATATCATTCAAAAGTACAGGCAGACAATCTTCGTCATTAACAAATTCACCCCATGTTAGTCCCCGTACCCAGATTCTTGATTTCCGTTTCTCATTTTCTGGGTTATTATAATCAGACACTGTATCCGTTGTGTCATTAAAGAATGGTATGTTCAAAAGGACACTATCCTTAATATTTTGCAAGACCAAAAGAAAGTTTGATCTGTCCGTGAGAACTGTGTGGTTTGTGGGAGATAAAGATGTACAGAGAAGTCCAGGAAGGGATGTGCCTGCTCCGAGCTATCCAATGTGATTTAAACTTAGAAACTGCTGACCAGGATTTTATTTGTAAAATCAATCAGTAAATTGGACTGCCTACTTCAACTATGACTTTTCCTTGAAAACCTCTCCGTTTGTACCAAATATATTCTGCGAGCACGAATGCGGATGGCCATACATAACATCCGTAGGATGGATCAAGCAACTGTCTCGAGGTTATAATACTAATGTAACTGTTGCGCAAATCGCAAATGATTTAGAGACTTGAAAAGATTTACCTCTTTTATCGTTATTGTCCTCCCGTTCCCGTCGTCCTTAGTGCCAAAACTGAAAGTCTTAATGTTAGACGATGTTTCCATGGAAAAGAAAGTTCCCGCACATGACTGTGCCACTCAAAGTTAACGAATGGAATTCACATAGATCAATTATATCCACGCATTAAAACATTTATTTTATTAAACCTCGGAAAATACAATAAATAGTATCCTACACTGATAATATAATATTAACTCCATCTATTTCGAAAATACACTAATTACATATCATTTGACATCAGCTTAAAACCTTCAGATCATCTCTCTCTTTTTAAACAAGCGAGCATCATTAAACTTGGACGGTTTTTGGGAAGAACGCACGCCGAATACTTAGATTTTTTCTCTTGGTTCGTTCAGAAGAATCTTTTTTCTCGTCAATCGGTCCCACAAATCCAACACTAAGTTCTTGATACCCCAGCCTTCCACAACTTCAACTTCTGTTTCCTCAAACTGCCTGGCCCTACCTCTCTCACCAACTGCTCTCTCATACAGCTTCTCTGCATCTGGCAATGCGTCAATCAAATAATTTGCACGTTCTTCATCTAAAGGATGAGTTGAAAAATAAGAATCTAACGATTTCAGTACTTCATTTGCATAATCTTCCTCGTCAACAAGGGTCGATTCAGCTCCACTATCATCATGAATATTTGACGTTACTGTGGATTTACGAGATATTGCGGCAGAAAGAGACCAGAGTTCAACAGCTTTTTGGGGATCATAACCAGCTACTGCGAGTAGTTGCATACCGACTAGATCAGCTTCCT